AATAATATAATAATATAAATATAATATAATAAATAATATAACAAATATATAATAATATAATAAATATAAATAATAAATAAATAAATAAACAATAATATAATAAATATATATAATAATATAATATAATTAATATAAAACAACAAATTTTAACGAGAAAGAAAATAATTTTATTCGGATTATTATCAATTGCGATAATATTGTTACATTATTCAACGTGTTTTTGACATTTACATTGTTTTGACAATTACAATTGCGAGAATATTATTACATTATTCCACTTGTTTTTGACATTATGGTACAAACGTAAAATGTTGATCGTTGGAGTCTGAAATACTATCTGTGCTGACCTAAACACCATCTCATTTCCGAAATGTTTGATATCGATTGTACATTAAACAATTTCTGTACACTGAGAACGTTTCGTTTGAAACCCATACATGGTTTCATAATCCTGAATAGGTTTAATGAATTACAACTCAAGTGTGTAAAGTGAGAATTTTGTATCCATTATAACAAAGTAATAATTACATGGAAAGAGGGAACATTAAGCTTTTCCACCATTATTAAAAAATTTTCGTTATTTTGTTCATCGTTATTGAAGAATATTAGTGGAAATACACGTGATTACGATTGGAATTCTTTGTTTAACTATCCAACAATTTATGAGGGTTCACTGGGAATAGAGAAGAACGCAAATTCACGTTACGAATGAATAATTAAAAATCTATATTAATTTCAAAGCTTTGTTAATTTTTATGCATCAAAAAGATTGTAAATGTACAATATTCATATAGGGTGTCCCAAAATTTACGCAAGATTTGAATTTTGCGCCATTTGTGCAGTGAAGTGTTGGCAACGAAAGAAAAAATAATCTGACAGCTGACAGTTTAAGGTTATTAAAAATGGAGCACTAACACATGAAAGAACAACGCGTTTTCATTGTTGAATAATATTTACAAGTTTTAATTTGTAACCTGTGTTTTCTATCAAAATTACTTCTTGCTTGAATTTTGGGACACATAATATATGCATAATTAAGAGCACGAAGCCATTTTAAGAGTTCATTGTATTCTACGATACATTGGAGGAAATATATTTTTTTCAAATTTTATTTCAATATTTATAAAACTGAAAGAAATAGAATATTTTGAAACATAACTTGACCACTTAGATTATCATTTAATTGATATATTTCCAAAATCAACGACTAAGGTTTTCTTATTTTCCATGCGGTCGGACTATTCAAATAATAATGTTTTATCTTGCTCTAACCTCAACATGTCTTGTATTAAAATATTTTACGTTTTGAAAGAAACGTTTTACGTTTTATGCTTTGATTTAGACACAGAAAGTTCTTGATTTCGATATTCCAAATAATATACCTCGTATGCCAGAAACAGAATAAACATCACGAAAGAGAAACACAGCCGAAATTTGTTTCGATATAAATTATTTAATGAAAAGGAGAAATCAGTGGATGAAGCTAATGAAGAAGGAAAATCAAAAGTTAATAGTCAATATGAATTCGGCGAAGAGAATTACAATAATGCTCAATTGCTTAAAATAAAATAATGAATTGTAATTAATTGTAATTTTAATTAGTATAATAAATAAATTATTATCGTAATATTATTATTTAATGTATTGGTATATGATTATGATATCAAAGATTATGTTATATTATTATATATTTTCTGCAAGTGAAACTAAGAATTAAAGTGATTCATTAACATTTAGTACTATCTTAAATTATTATAAATATTATTTTTTGTACGCAGATTTTTGTACTCACGTACTTTCTACAAATATTTTAATTATTTGTTATTTGTTGAAATCATGTTACGTGCAATCAAATATTAAGTACGTATTGTAATAATCAACAATATTAAAAATTTAAACTATGAATTTAATTTATTTTAATATTTACACGATAAATGTCTAATATATAGAAATGTAATTTAATGCAATTAATTAAGAAACATTATCTAGCACCTATAGTATCTACAAATTAAATAAGTAAAAATTTATATCGTTTCATACCAACAATTACATTTACGTTTTCAATAAATTCTGTATATTAGTTACTACCAAACGTGTTTATAGCGAGAGACAGCCTGTAATAATCAACAATATTAAAAATTTAAACTATGAATTTAATTTATTTTAATATTTACACGATAAATGTCTAATATATAGAAATGTAATTTAATGCAATTAATTAAGAAACATTATCTAGCACCTATAGTATCTACAGAGATATAATCGATTTTTAATAATTTAGCTTATAAGAGTTATTATTATTTATATAATATTCATCATCACGACACGTGTGAAACAAAAATTTAAAAAATACTCCACATAACAACGTTTATTATTGAATTAAAAATAAAGAGAGTGAAACTCGCGTAGTTGCTATCAAATGGACACACAACTTGCGAGTACTCTCAAGAGTAACTCGCGCGAGAAAGTCTCAAATGGCACGTAGCATAAAGGAACAGCGTTTGGTTCGAGGCTTTCTGTGTATACCTGTACTCATATCTGGAGTCAAATTCGCCACAGCACACAAGAAACGAATATCAAATTATCCCAACGAACATATCAAGTCACAACGAACAAATCATATATCACAACACAGAACATTGAAAAGGAATAAACAAACCGATTTGTGGAATTAACCGTTTGCACTGGGCGATCTTTTCGTTACAGAAACAGAGTAATTCGAGGACTTTTTGCCATAAAGTCGACGATATTTTCAAGACGGTAAATAAGAAGTGCAAATTAATTGTAAGATGTAATTTTACTTCGATATTCCATGCGTCGTTGGGCAATTTTAAATTCGAGATATTAATTAACAACGATCTTTAGAATCTGATTAAATGACAACTGAGAGTCGCCTTTTAAGTGCAAAGGGTTAAATTAAAGAAGGAACATCACATATAATATTAGCAGCAACGTTATGAAGCGTTTACCGTATGCAAGCCATATCTTTAATTCATCAAATTTGCTGGTTAGCTCAATGAAGCTAGTTGTAAATATAATTTAGTATTAATAAAAAGAAAAAAATATTTGGAGTTGTTCCAGCAGACTTGTACTTCAAATATAGAATAGAAAAGACCAAGTTAAAAATTACTTCCCAAGATAGTAATTATTAGTAAGTATAATACTTTAGAGAATTGTATTTTGCTATGTGTCTCCATCTAGTGACAATCGCGCGAAGCTGATATAACACAAAACCGTGTAAACGCTTTTATCATGTGAACCGTGTAGGCTATCTTGCCTTTTATCATATAGATAAATGATCATGCTAAGCACAAACTTACTATAGTAGCATTTAAAAATAATACGAATAATTTTATGTAAGTACTATATTTATGCATTGTTTTCCTTACTATTAATAAATATTGCTAAAAATGAGATATTCAATTATGGTTTAGGAATGTAAAGTATGCACCAAGTGAGTGAAGAATGCTTGTCTCAGCATAATAGAAATGTGGATGAAGATGCATGAAGATGTTAGAAGCGTGAAAAGA